GCTATGCTTAGTAGCGTGTGTTGTAGCTATGTACAGCAACAGATTTGGGAGGCAGAGTCCAACGAATGACAGATCCACAAAACCAGTAAAACGAAGGAAATCCCAAAAAATCCTCTGGTGGATTTACAAGAAATGACTCATACGAGTAAACATACCACAGTAACGTATTTGTGATTGTCACAAATGCACATGGTGCCCTCTAGTGGATTTGTGAAAACAAGAAGAGCGAGAAAACGCATTTTAGGGTACATATTTGTCGGTTCTCAAAAATGCAGTCATGAGTATGTATTTCAAATGAGCCTGGGTTGCAACTTTTTGTACTAACCCTAACCAGTCACTAACAGTCTACAAATGCAGTGGTTTCAAAAGTGAGGGTCGGGACCCCCTGGAGGGTCGCAGGCAGTGTTGCCATATTGGGCGGTTTCCACCCAGTTGGGCGGTTTAATTTTATTTTATTTTTTTGCGGCTAAAAAATGACATAGACGGATAGTGTAAAATTGGGCGTTTTTTTCAACGGCATGCCTGCCCGCTGCCCCGGTCTTCACTTATAAACCTGTTATAATCCCCCGAAGAGCTTATAAAACCATGATAATTGCCTGAAGAGGTGCCATAGGCCCAGTTCTCCAAATACAAACGCTTACAACAGTTGTGATATCCCAACGACACACATTTCCCAACATGTCAAACACCATGAAAACATTGTACCCACCAGTCTATTTAATAATACATTTAACAAAATAATATTGACTATACAAAAATATATGTTTGTTTGTTTGTTGTCTGATTTTTGTGTTGTCAATATGCTCATTTTTATATTGGCCTATTGTTGTGTGCGTAATGTTTGTATATGTATAACCACCTCTGAGAAATTTGGGGGTGCGAGTCACTGATATTGTTATTTTGGGAGTCACAAAATAATCACAAAATACCTCTGTGCTAATATACTAATAGGAGTTTGCTGACATATAGTTATAAAGTTGTTTAAGTCCAAAAAAAAAAAAAAAGTCTAATTCTACAGTATATCAGCACTAGTACTTATCTCACCTTTAAAATATAAACTATATTTTGCTTAGGACGATTAGAGCCCTTAAGGACATCCTAAAATTATGTTGCTATAACCCAAAATGAGCATTCCATGTGGGGCTCACACTGCTTGAAATTAGATTTGTTGCAGATTGGTCTAATAATAGCTTGTCTTTTGCACATGTAGGCAGCTGCATCATTATACAATTCAGAGCTGAACTGCACGTTGGCTGTTAAAAAGGACAAATGGTCTGTCATTGTCATCATCCAGCAGCAAAATGGGCATATCATAGGGGGTTGACGAATCAGGGAAGGTTATGAAATGATCTAGAATACCTAATCAAGCAGTGAAAAAGGGTAGTCTTGACTGGTTTGCAAAGCTATTTCCTTTTGTAAGTCTACATTGAAATATCAGCATAGACATTTTAAGCTACAACAGGTTTTGTAGAGCTTCCAAGAGTCTCATATTTCGAGAGTTCAAGTGTCAAAAAGAAGTGTGGAATATAGGCATAAATATAGCTAAAGTTATACAAACAATGGAAAAATATTAGTGTAAATCTACAAAAATTAAAATATTTAAACCAAAATAAAGTGTAACTAGATTTTATACGTGAGAAATGTGTGCAAACATAGTCACTGAGTTCATTTTTAGTCTACAGCTACAGAAAACAAACAAATAAATAAATAACACTTTTTTACTATTATCCAGCTCATTGTTAGATTTTTGCATACTTGAACTAGCAAAACAAGGTATAGGTTTTGATTCTTGACTTCAATTAACAATTTAAGTCTTTCAAGTCACAAATGCAAACACATTAACAGCATTTAATACATAATACGCAATTGTAATATAAAAACGTGTTTTTGAAGTAGCCTGCATACTGTAGCTTCAGTTATGGACTAAATGGATTACACAAATGTATTATTTCAGTATTAGAAACAGAGACAGCAAATGTGACAGCCAGCTATATGCATTAGGAAGATTAGTGGATTATTGGAAAGGCTTTAAGAGTGCACAAGAACCCCTGACCATTTGTCCACCTTTTGGTACTCTTAACACGTCTTTTAATTGATGTGCTTACAATATAAGAGGCCTGTTTGTACAGAGACTTTATGACAATCAATGAACATCTAGACATACCCATATAAATTATGCCAAAAAAGGGACACATTTAAATAAATCTGTGAACACCCTTGGCCTTTATTTGTAGACTTAAAGAATTACATTTTACTAAATCTGTTTAGGAGCGTTATTTTAGAATTTACTCCATTTTTTTTTCAAACAAGGCTTGTTTTAGGAGGGTTTTAAAAGAAGACAAAAATAAATGTTGCAACTTTTTCTCTGCGGTTGCAATTGCACTTTCCTTTTGTTTAATACAAGCAATTAACCAAGAGACATTCATATAAACAGATAACAGTTTTGCCTAATGTTGAGGAAATATGTACAGTTATATGTAAAATTAGTCGTCGCTAATTAGCTAAAGCAGAACAAAGCAATAAGCCAACTGTTTCTGATCTCTCATTTAAGATTTGGAATAAGAAAAACCCCAGTGGACTCACTTGATGTTAAAATCATTGCCACTAAAGTGCCTCTGACTTTTAATGAGTTTTTTTTAAAGGGTCTAACAGAAGCAGAGGTCAATGATTTTTTCCCAAGCTCTGTCAATTTCCTCTGTTCTTTCTTTCAGACAAAAACATCCTTTGTACTCAGATCTGATTTACTTGTTCATATGGGATTAGCCATACTGTGTGGGAGTAGGTGATTTATCAAGGGTTTTACATAGAGCATGCCATACATCTTATCACCGAGTTAAAACCAAAACACCAATTGAGGTCAAGTCTGACTTTTAACGTTACAAATCTGAAACATATAGGGCTCTGTTTTTACCATCTAGGCGCAAAAGCTAAAGCGTAATGTGCAAAAGCATTAAGGGCATGTCCGAATCCAATTTTGTTATTTTCTAAACAGAAAAATACAGTTTTCGCCACCATGCATGGTCTAACAGGGCTATGCTTATTTTCTTAATGAGTTATGAGTGTGTTTTGAGCATAACCTGCATTAAACCAATCAGAGTCTCATCTCCCATTCTCTTTTCAAGAGTTCACACTTAGATATTGTTTGACAACTGTTAGCAGGTTTGGCATGCTGCCCTGGGAGAGAACCCTGAGCTCGGAGATAGTTAAGCCCAGGGCTCCCGCCAGGTCCATAGAGCATGCGAGGGGAGTGCGAGATCAGGTGGTTCTCGAGAGCTCCCCTATGGTAAAGGAGGAAAGTAGGAGAAAGGGGTGGATGGGGGGTTTCTTCGGAAAACAAATATAAGGGAGTAAATCTAGCACGGCTACTTATAGTGAGTTAGGATTGATCTGATTGGCTAACTAATAAATGTAGATGGGTGGCCAGCTGCAGTCAATCATGTCACATGCTCTTCTCGAAATTAGTTTGTAAAACTTCACTAAGAGTCAGTTGTGTTGTGCCATGGCACATTAGCTATTTACATGGCGGACTTTGTAAGTGAAAAAACTGAACGATCACGCTTATCTGCGTGATAAAGAACAAGCCTTCTCCATTCTGCCTCTTTACTCTCTCTTTTCTTCACTTTTATTCTTTATTTTACTTCTTTACTTTCGTGGATGAGGAAACCGTGTTGTACGCACTCCACAGAAGACTCCCATTAGCCTACAGATTTAACTTTGTTAATCAAGCAAAAAGATTTGTTTAAAAAGTATTTCTAAATTCAGTTCTAATTTCCAGCAAATTAATGTAAATGAATCAATGAATTAATGATAATAATTGTGTAAATAAAATAAATAAACAACAATAACTGAGTTCCAAACACACTATTCGTATGCCCCATATGGTGATGTATAAGTCACAAAACCTGACACATGGACAAATCTAAACTCGTTTTTATTACAACAAATATAAATATACCCTCTAGTTTTTCGCGATTCAGCGAACAGATGCGGATGAAGCGTGAGTGATTTACGTGGGAAGTCAATGCAAAAACGAGATTAGACATCCAGTGGCGCAAATTGGGCATTTTGTGCGTGGAAAATAAAACAGACAGTACAGTAAGCAGCTTAAAAAGACGGAGATTGATTCAAAGATGACGGCCACTGGACGTGACCGAAATGAAGGACATTGCTTTACATATATGACTGGCATTATGGTGTGCATAAAATCGATAAATGTGTTTGTCTTTCCCTGCAGTTAACAACGAAAATCGTTTCCCTGCCATTGACATGTAGATTTTTTTTTAATCACAAAAAACCAGAGGGTCTGCTATTTATCTATCTATCTATCTATCTATCTATCTATCTATCTATCTATCTATCTATCTATCTATCTATCTATCTATCTATCTATCTATCTATCTATCTATCTATCTATCTATCTATCTCTGTCTTTTGTTCTTCTTTATTGTTCATTTACCTATTTCTAATGGTAATTCATGACACGACTGTCATCCATGCAAGTATGAGTGATTGATAACCCAGAAGTGACTGGTGTCTCATAATGAGATTCGTTAGGAGGACAGAGAATATGCCAGAGCATAATTTGTGAATAGGTCAATTAAATATGACAGCTATCAAGAGCTCGAACGCATGGAATCACAAGTTCAGTATTCCAGCTAACTAGTTCAGCAAAGACTCTCACTGTCCTTGGAAATGTGATATGGTAATGCAGCGTAAGATAAGAGCAGAATTAAAAATCAGATTAAAATCAAAAAAATTCTAGCAGACAAAGAGAGCAAGATTTCCATAAGTCCTTCAAAGAGCTTTTGTAGCTTAATTATAATCAAGTGAACAGTCTTTTTTTGATATGTGTGATACTTGTATGTGAAATGTGAGCTAGTTTTTTTTTTTTTTTTGGTAGGATTCCTGTTGCTAAGGAATGTGTGGTTATATTTCAGCAAGTGTGAAGCATGGAAGCTGCAGAAGTGATAAGGTGTTGGGTGGTGTCCATGTGCACTCACCAATTCAAACCCTGAAGAGTCAGCTGACAAATTCCATCGCTTCTCTTGACCATCTTGGCTTTGATGTCATATCATCTCTGCCCAAAGCTCTTCTGCTCTCACACCTCAGATGCCTCAGTGAATGCTGGCGAGGGCAACTTGAAAGCTTGAGGTGATAGAGAGAGACAGTGGTAGCTGCCGAACAGTGCTACTGACTTAAGCACAATCTCAAGAGCCTTCCTGTCAAATTGTACCATGCTGTCGGAGGGAAAATAAAAAAAATAAAAAATAAATAAATAAATCGCTTGGTCACATTTTTTTTTTTCATATTCTCCTTTCACTCAGAAAAAAAAGCAGAGGGGTTTTTGTGGTGAAGGAGAAAGTTTCATAGATGTCCCTGAGAGTGGGTAGACAGAGACCCCATTCCAGGTGCAAGCGTCACCGCTGCAAATCAATCATTCCATTTCAGAGAGATAATTTATTATGGGTGCAGAGGGTTACGGATTCAATCTCCACCATGTTCTGACTGCCATGTCCAATGCTTAAGCCTGTCATCAGTCTTCATCTGGCTAACTTTTACTCCTCTGTCACCGCCATTATTAAAGTGGCAATTCGCCCCCTACATAATGAAATATGACAGCATACATACAAATGGCGAGGTGGCTAAATGTGATAAATCACTTTGTTAGACAAAATTAGGGTTGATTGTAATAGCAAACTTATACTGACTGGAAAGTAAAACGTGAATTTAATAGGGACACTTACTTCATGAGAACCTGCAGAGTGGTGCTAATCTACCTTCATGTGTACATAGATAATACATGCTATGCAAGGCAACAAATCTATGTAAAACATAGATCATGTCATGTTTATTTTTTCAGTTCATTTTTTTTTCTATAGCGCTTTTACAATGTCGATTGTGTCAAAGCCACTTAACATAGAAGTTCTAGTAACGTCCAGATTTCAGAGGTGAAGTTTAGTTTAAGTCAGTTCAGTGTGGTATAAGTTTCACTGCTGAACGTTCAAACAATAAAGAGCGAATTAATAGATGCGCTGCTGCACAAGTCTCAATCCAAGCAAGCCAGTAGTGAGGAAAATAAAAACTCCAACTGACGAAGTAAAAAAAAAAAAAAAAAAAAAAAAACTTGAGAGAAACCAGTCGCTGTTGGGCAGGACTATTTCTTTATTATTTACTATTTCTAGTTTAGGCCCCAGAGGCTGGAGAACGCTGGACATCCATTGTGAAGAAGCTGCAGGTGTGAGTGGGTCACTGGCATGTGATCAGGTTGGCTCACAGGATAAATGGGGGGACTTATCTGTCACTGTGGTCTTTTAAGAATCAGTCTCATGCACTTCACTCCTCCATAACGACCACAGCATCAGCTCAGGATACGGCCTGGTCTAGGATTATGGATACCTTGGCATAATTTCTCCACAGGGCTAGACAATAACAATTTATTTGAAGGGGGTGTTTATAAGACTGTCATGAAACTTTTTCTTAAAATGACATGACCCAGAATGTGAATATGAACAGAGTTTACATTCATGCTGATGACAATGATTTCATTAACTGTCATTTAGTCAGGTATGTCAGTTTAAATGCAAAGATGACATTGTTTGAGATGCCTTTGTTATGACAACTTGACATTATCAGGGCAACATAACTTGTCATAAACAGTGTTGTGCTAGTTACTGAAAAATAGTAACTAGTTGCAGTTACTTCATTCAAAAAGTCTCAACTCGACTACCAACATCAAAAAGTAATGCATTACTGTTAAAAGTAATTTATGAGTTACTTTTCCAAAGAACATTTTTAATGCTCCCATTAATGCCCTTGTAACGTCACTTCAGTGCTGCATGGAGAATACACTGTTGATCAACTTCAGTTTAATTTTTTTTTGCATTCTCACAACTAAAACACAAGACGGAGTTAAACAAAAAGTAAGTGTGTATATATATATATATATATATATATATATATATATATATATATATATATATATATATATATATATATATATATATATATATATATATATATATATATATACTTGTGATATATACAGTCGAAGTCTGAATTATTAGCCCCCTTTGATTTTTTTATTTATTTTTCTTTTTAAAATATTTCCCTAATGATGTTTAACAGAGCAAGGAAATTTTGATAGTATGTCTCATAATATTTTTTTTTCCTCTGAACAAAGTCTTATTTTTTTTATTTCGGCTAGAATAAAAGCAGTTTTAAATTTTTTATGAACCATTTTAAGGTCAAAATTATTAGTCCCTTTAGGCTATTTTTTTTCAGAGAACAGAACAGACCATCATTATAAAATAACTTGCCTAATTACCCCAACCTGCCTAGTTAAACTAATTAACCTAATTAAGCCTTTAAATTTAAGCTGTATAGAAGTGTTTTGTAAAATATCTAGTCAAATATTATTTACTGACATCATGGCAAAAAATAAAATAAATCAGTTTTAAGAATGAGTTATTAAACTATTATATTTAGAAATGTGTTGAGAAAATCTTCTCTCTGGTCAACAGAAATTGGGGAAAAAATAAACAGGGGGCTAATAATTCTGACTTCAACTGTATGTATGTATATATATATATATATATATATATATATATATATATATATATATATATATATATATATAAAATTTTAGAAACAAAAATGATCAAACAAAAGTTGCTTAAGCATCACAAAATTTGTTGTATTTAACCCTTAAACATGTTCCTTCACAGCTTGAGTATAAAAACTAACCAAGTAATCTGAATTATCATATAGAATTATTTTAGTGAAACTCAGCACCAAAAACTGCTATTATAGACAACCAAAAACTTGATGCATTTTAAACCAAACAAAAACATAACAGCTGCTCAAAAATTTAATCTATGAGCAATTTTTAAACTAACCACATATTAAACGTTGTTTGTCAACAACTTATGGAAAGTAAGCTGTGTATATTCAAAGTGCAAAATCTGCTGTTGCATGACAGCTATAAAAATGCAAAACACTAAAAATAAATCAGAGCATTTTTCTGAGCAATACAACACTATACACTACAATACTATACAAAATGTGTCACTGTATCAACTAAACTAATCAATTTTGTTATAGAGATAACAAATGTGTGCTTATTTATTTGAAACAACAAACATAGTAGTATTAGTCATAGAAATTAAAAATAGTAACTTTAATAGTCTCTCTGTCTCTAGCACGCGCATACTTGGTCTACCTCGCGCACATTCAGTCTCTCTTACGACCACATTTGGCCTCTCGTGCTTGCACCCGGTCTCTCTCGTGTGCACACTTTGCTGTTTGTCCAGTCTGACTCCTCATACACAACGCGTCTTCTTTATGGTGGTTGGTTGATATCCATCAATCCCACAATGCGTTGATGCTTTTAACAGGAAGATGTTGGCTAGACTGCAGCCAAAATGATTTAACTCATCAAATAACGGACAAATGCATCATATAGTAATGATAACGGAGTTAATATATTTTAAAAGTATTAGTTACTATCAAAAGTCAAAAGTTACAGTAACGCATTACTATTAACGTGTATTGCCCAACACTGGTCATAAATCTGTCATAAACATGATTGTCACGGGATCATTATAAATGTGTCATGAATTATATAACAGCATCAATGATATTTTAGTCTTGAACTCAACTACATTGGTACAAATTAAATGTCAATAAATTGTCATTTAACATAAAATCATTTTACAGAATATTGACACTTTTACTGAGAAATTTGAATGACAAATTAATTTTATAATGGTCTTATGACAAGCATGTTTATGACAAGTTATATTGTCTTGGTAATGTCAAGTTGTCATAAAGACATCTCAAACAATGTCATATTTGCATTTTAAATGACATAACTGAGTGAATGACACTTAATGACGGATGTCATAAGAATGAATAGAATATCCTTCATATTCATGGCGTGTCATGTCATGATTAGAAAGGTGTAATTCTTTAAGTAATGTTACCAAAAGAACATGTCCTGCTGCCACTGAACAACTGCACTTCTAAGGTTCCCTCTTGTCCCTAATTTTTTTTGGTTCTTTTATCTTTGCTTTAAGTCATACTTCTCATTCAATGTATCACTTATCGAGACCAATTTGAAAGTCCTGACAATGTTTTGATTTCAAAGGAGAATGAAATACTTGCCGGGCCTTATAACTCAAACTTTTAATCTACTATGGAAATAATTGCACTAATATTGGGCTGATCTCTCTGAAAGCCGGTCTGCCAAATCACATAACGGGTTTGACAAAAAAAGCAATTAAGGTTCATTGAAACATGTAATTTAATCAGTCAGAAATTGATGTTTTTGATGGGTAAGACATAATTACCTTTCTCGCCCCTTCTATTTAAGGTGTTTTCTATAGAGCCTAAACATGTATAAGCCTAGCGAATTTGTGGGTTGATGCCATAATTATGCGGAAAATGTGCTATATTTGGGGCTGGACTGACAGCATAATTACGGCCACAAATTCTGCTGTGGAAAAAGGCATTCAGACTGGCTGTTGCTGCAGCCACAATTATTTCCTTTGTGACATATTGATGTTCCTGTAAGGAAATACAGCGGATAAGACAAAGCTAAAGAGCAAGTTGTTTCATTGCTGTTTAAATGAGAATTCAGCTCCCACAGTCTGCCTCAATTAGAACTGTCCTACAACAATCTAAACAGTTTGCCCTCTCTTGTCCAACTAGTCATAATGTCGATTCCTCACAAATTACAACAAATCATCAGGAAACTTGCAAAGAATGCCAATACGTAAAGAATGGCTTAATTATATTCCATTTGTAGTCCTGACAGACTTGCATTAGCGATCATGACAGCTGGGCAAAGCTTGGTTGGATACCACTTTTTCTGTTAAACAGCAGGCATTTTATTTTGCTCCACATTTCGATACTGTTTTGACAGCTTCTTATTATATTGTTAATACTATCTCTTTGTTCTGTGATGGGCCTGCTGAAAATAGTAAAAAATAAACAACACATTTTTGTCAACAAATATTTAGTTCAAATGGATTGTTCACCCAAGCATAGGATTTGCTGTTAATGTACTAACCCTGCAATAAAACATGATGTAAATGACTTTCTTTTTTCAGTAGTAAATTAAAGAGAAAGAGTAAAGAAAAATGCTGTACACAGAGTCAAACAAGACATACACTAACCAGCCACATTATTAGGTACACTTGTCCAACTGCTTGTTAACGCAAATTTCTAATCAGTCAATCGCAGAAATTCAATGCATTTAGGCTTGTAGACATGGTAGTTTACATGGTAGACTCTTAATTAGAGTATCGTCTTTATCGTATTAAAATCGGATTATTGGTGTCTATGCAAACAAAGTCAGTGACTTCAAATGTGAAATCAGTCTTCCAGATGTAAATCCTCATTGGATGTGTGTATGTGTATGTCATCACGATCTCTTGCTTCATATGAGAATGACAATCGTGACTGCTGTAGTTCTTACAGTTGCATTATTTTTTGGTATTTATGGTATTTATCTTCAAGAAATCACAGAATGCAACGATATCATGTTATCATAACTATAATGTGACAATAAGCTCATAAGCTGTGCTGTGCATTTACACTGTGGCCATAGTCATCTATAAACACACACACACACAAAAACAACATTATACCAGACACTGTAAAAAGGTCATTCCCAGCCTTTTCTGACAGGAGATTCCAGTCTCATTAGCCCCTTTTACAGTGATACTGGTAAATATCTAGGAAATTTCCGGAATGGCTATACCGTAAAAAAATGTAAAAAAAAAAAAAAAAAAAAGATTTTCACACAGGCAAGTTTGTTCCTGATTTTTTTTTCTGGAAAAGACCGTCCACACATCTATTCTAAAAGACTGGTTAAGTCTGACATTATTAACCAGAAATGAGCTCTAAATGGCTGCGTTTGCATTTGTAAACATAGAAGGGGTCTGGCTTTTGTTTATGGTTTCACTCTAATTTAAAGCTTTAGCATTCATGCAGCTGCTTTTCTCCCAGAGACAACCAAAGGCAGAAGCGCCAACAGCAGCTAAATTACCAATTCTGCTTTTGTAAATTTTGTGGATGGATAAGTATTGTGAACAACTTCAATGAAAACATGTGGAGAAACACTTTCACAAGATGCAGATCATATGTGTGTGCTGGCGTATACCGGAGAACTTCTTCACGTGCACACGTGTCAAGCAACAGAAGCAAAGCTTGAAGATTAACTAACATTCGTTTATCAGAAGCATTTTATCAAAAATGTTTTACAGAGCTGGCATTCTGAAGGAACAGAGAAACATTGTCTGACTAACATCTAGAAGCTAAATATGTCTGGAAAAATTTCAAAGCCTTTTTTTATAAACAGCGCTGATGTGATGCTTCTGAATGTTCTGGTTTGCTGGAGTAGATGTCTCATGTCATCGCATTCTAAACGTGAGCGCGTTTTTCTGTCAATTTTCCTTGTGCGTTCTGTAGCATGAAATTAGCTCATTTTATGAATATTAATAATCAACAATAACGGTTTATTCTTAATTATTAATATTCCGGCTTAAGCTTCAGTCAGTTTGGTCAAACAAACATATGATTGTAAATGATCATGCTGAGCGGATTCCCAGATTATGAATATTAATTATCAACAATAACGAATTATTATTAATCATTAATATTCCGGATCACTTTATTGTTAATTTGACCAAACGAACACAAGCAGAGCCGCCGCTCTTCCGAGCGGACACTGTAATCTATTCATTTAGAAAAAGGGAATTTAATTGCTACTTCTTGTGAAGTAGATTAATCATTCAAAAGTTTTAAACAACTTATAATAGCTAGGCAGGGGAATCTGTATTTCAGTGACATTTTCTCGTGAGGCAAACAATACAATTCATTTGATTATAATGGAATTTATCGACTAGTCAGACGTAACGAACAAACAAACGCACAAACATACATTTAACACAAAACAAAGGTAAACCACGTGGAGATATCAGGTCTATAGAACGTGTAACAGCAAAGAGAAATAGTAAAGCTAGAAAATATAGATTTCAGATTAAAGAGTGACAAAACTTTCAGTTCCACACGCACCATTACGGACCACCAAGGTTATAAAAAACACCTTTTTGATAAAAGGGGCACAGCTTAACCGCATAGCTAAAATCACCTGGTTTTTCATGTCTGGAGGTCTCTTTTATGCGTCTCTCTTCCGTCGTGATGAAACTACTCTTGATGTCCTTTGATGCGTGGAGTTTGTAATGCAGTTCGGACGAACACGATCGCAAACTTTAAACTGAATTTACTTTGCCGGAAAATAAAGAAAGCGTGGCGGGAAAAAGTCCATGCGGCTTAGAAAGCCACGTGTGGCCCGAGGGCCACCGTCAATGATGTTCCTTTTTGGGACGTTCTCTTTCTGCCCAGATGTTTGGGGGGAAGTGTGCTTATACCTGCGGGTCACGTGACAACCCGTACAGCATTCTGACCAATGATTTCAGGGGAAAGTTTGCGCGCGAACCTTCCTTTGTCTCTGGGCTGCGCGTATGCAAATTTGAGCGCCCGCCTAAAGCATGCGGACAGGCATTTAATACAGGGCTTTAAATAATAAAACAATGCGAGTTATGGTCTCGATCTATGCATCATGTGTTATAAAATGTCGAGGGCATTCTATTGACACCAAACACTCTACAAGTACATCACATAGTTCCCATATCCTTACATCATTGATGCTTTTAAAAAGGCCTGCAAGCGTGAATGTGTAGTCTATATCAGGTATTGTACTCATTACAAAAGTTAAATGAAATTAAACAAGAGATTTGGGTTATAAATGTCTTTGTTTAATTTTGAGGAATGTCTTGTCTGTGAGCAGAATGTTAGCTAAAGAGGTTTTTTTCCTTTTCTTATCTTATCTGTCACGTTCTTTTGAAGTAGGCAGAGAGTGGTTCTGTGAAGTCTCCCAGACTTGTTCACATGTCACCAGGGATTACCAAGCCAGACTTTTCGTCGCCAAGTGATTTTATTGTCCTGGCGATTCACCCAGATTGTTTTCTGGAATGTTAAATGGAATGTTTATTTCCAGAATGCAGGTTACAATATGTTACAGTTCACACATAGCAGCATTCCGACAAATTATCGCTAATGTTACAACTTCTCTTTTCGCAAAATTGCCAGAATAAATCTACCAATATTTTAAAAAAGGGCCTGTTCACACATGATTCCTTTCCAAAAAATGGCAGGTAATTTTTCGGAAAGATCTGTATGTGTGAAAGGGGCTATTGAGTGTCAGATGTGACAGTATGTTGTGGGACTGCTATACAAGAGTTAAGGATTATGGATAGCAAAACTGCACGGTTTTTATTTTAGCGCTTTTTTAAAGCACAAACGCCATAATGAATGTATTAAAACATATGCTTGTTTGTTGTAAAAATTTGTAATAATGACAAAAATAAATAATTTGTGCATCTCGTGACTTCCATGTGTAGCCATGTGTATTCTGGGGAATTTCTGTACCTCTCAGTTTCATGTTTGGTCCTGAAAAATCTCACTTTCAAGGGTTATCTAGCCCTACGCCATCTAGCTAAAGATAACTGGGACACCCCTAGGTAAGTGGAAGGGCTAAGGGGTAGAATTAGAATTGGGCCTAATTTAACATGGAAAGTAAATATGGTATGTAAGCCTGGAAAAAGCAAAAATACCTCGTTCCATATTTGCGCATACGTGCCATTTACCATGTCTACTCGAAATAATGGATTTGAGCATGCAAAAGATGATGTGTGAACACAACCCGGTTAAATTTACTAATAAAATCTCATTTACTTTCCTTGAATAAAATGTCACCTACAATTAAGATGGCCTGAATATATGGGGTGTATATAACTGTGCCTTTAAGTCGTTAAGATTTTCAAATACCGCTTAGATACATTCACACTGATATGTGAATGTACTTATGCACACACACACACACACACACGCACACGCACACACACACACACACACTTTCTCTTAGAAATCAGCACAGTTTTTGACTCGCTGCCCGGTCGCTATCTGCCGGTTTTAGATTTCCTGTCTGATTGACAGCCCTGGTACCTTTAATAGGGTTTGTAATAGATTCGTGATGCCTCTCATGCTCCTCTGGAGAGCATCCCAACAGCTCTCCACTCAGTCGTCTCATGTCATTCCTGACGCCTCAGCTTAGATTGGCTTATCTCTGCCTCAGCCTTGCTGCTGACTCTCATAGACAGATTAGTACAGATGTTCTATCTTCTATTTACAACACCACCTTGCGTCCTTCCTGTGCACAGAATAATGTAAAGTTATTGAATTAAAGAATCATTGAGTTATCCCCCATAAGGCACAGTTTCAGCGTGTTTTCATAAGTATTCATTGATTTTTGTTTCTTAGTATTAAAGCAACTATTGGAAACATAAGAAACGTAATTTGATTTTGTGTTTCATTTCTATGTCCTCTTGTATATTAATACCACGTTTTACTGCATTTCCTGGGAAAAAATCTGATTCTTTAATATGGTGCAATAAACCCTGAAGGGTGAATGTATTTCCAGTAATCGCAAGTGTGAACAATAAGTGTAGTGTGCTTTCATAACGAAGTCTTTTTTCCCATGAGTGTTTTTTTTTTCCAAGAAGGCTGAAACGTTTTCATGTGAAGGTATGAGGATTTCACGAACACATAGATTGCCTGTCTTTACAGCGGCCTTGTTCTTGGTCTTTGAAATCTGTATGGATAAATGGGAAAGGAAAGATTGATTACTGAAATGCTTTCATTCCTTTTTTTTCTCCATTCTTCGGGTGGTCTTTTAGCGCATTCAGGGTTAGACCAAATTGGCCACATGTGCCTCCAATCATCGTGCATCAGGTGCTAGAATCTGCACTGTCTTTGATTCTGAAGAGCTCCTGATTACAGTGACAGTTCTGCTCTCTCATAACGTAAATGGAGAAAGCTACAGCTGCACTAGATGCACTGTTGTGGCTTGCCTTGAAATAAAATATGAATGAAATGCCAAATACAAGTAACTTTGTCCTCCAATAGAAATTACTCTAAATCTAATTCATTATTATAATAAATCTGTTAGGCTTACTGAAATATTGACTACTTGTTTCTGCAGGGGTTACGAGTCACTATTCACACCAAGGATAATAACAATAATCACAATGTAAAAAAATAAAAAATAAAAAAATAATAAAATAAAATAAAATAAAATAAATAAATAAATAATTTTCAAGAGTTTACATTTAGCTGATGATTGATTATAAATCTTGTTTGGCATTCTGTCCCAGGAGAGAGCGCTGAGCTCATAAGGTCCTCGAGCCCGGAGCTCCCTCCGGTTTACAGGGCGAGAGGGGAGTTTGAGCGCAGGGAGATCTTGAAAACTTCACAGCTGTAGTTGTCACGGTTGTAGGTGTGTGCACACTTCTGAGTGTCTGTTTGGTAACATGGTTTTGTTTTGGTGTTCCACGTGTGTCTGACGTCAGTGTTTTTGTCACGTGCTATGTGGAGTCCTGCTGTCCTGATTAGCCTGCTAGCTGCGACTTGTTAACTCGGCTATATCTGGGCAGCGTGTCTCTTGTCTCGTGTCAGTTCGTTATTTCTCTGCTGATCTTTCTGTTTGTGTTTAGGACTGGCGTGGAGTCCCTTTCTGAGACCTAGCTTCTCGGTTCCCTGTCTGTTTTCCTGATCCTCGATAGAGTCGGATACATAGCTTGTTTTTTTTGTTTATTTTTCCAGTGTGGACTTTGTGATACTATATTGACGGCATCAATAAAGCTAATGAACAGATAGTTGATTGCTCTTACGAGATAACTACTTACTAGGAGCATGTCTATGGTGTATTGTTTGGATTAGTCAATTATCTTAAAGTGCATGTTTTTGGACGGTAGTAGGAAACCCACGTAAGCACGGGTAGAACGTATAAACTCCACACAGAAATGTCGGCTGTCTTGGTAAGGACTAGAACCAGTGACGTTCTTGCTGTGAGGCAACAATGCTAACCACTGAGCCACCATGCCACCCATGTAGGAAAGAAGGAGGAGTAGGGGTGTAAGGGGGGATTCTTCAAAATGAAGATGGCTGTTATATGGAACTTAGGTTATTTTTAGTGGTTTAGGAATTGTCTGATTGGTAAATCGTAAATTGAATATTTTGGGACCGGCCGCAAGCAATCATAAGCACGTGGTCCTCTCGAAATTAGTTTATAAATAAACTTCATATCTTGAGGTTTTGTTCATGAGTGAAAGGATGGAGCGTGAGATTGACAGACGGAATGGTGTAGCGACAGCAGTAATACGGTCGATGTACCGGTCCATTGAAGAAAAGAAGGAGCTGAGCCATAAGGCAAAGCTCTTGATTTACCGGTTAATCTATGTTCCTACTCTCACCTATGGTCATAAGCTTTGGGTCATGACTGAAAGGACAAAATCTTGGATACAAGCGCCCGAAATGACATTTTTTCACAGGGTGGCAGCGCACACCCTTATGGACAGGGTGAGTAGCTCTGTCACCCAGGAGGAGCTCAGAGTAGAGCTATCTAGAGAAGTCAGCTGAAGTGGCTCGGATATCTGATTTGGATGCCTCCTGGACACCTATCTAGGGAGATGTTCCAGACATGTCCCACCAAGAGGAAGCATCGTGAAAGACCAAGGACATGCTGGAGGGACTATGTGTCTTGGCCGACTTGGGAACATCTTAGGATCGCCCCAGAGGAGCTGGAGAAAGTGTATGGGAAGAGGGAATTCTGTGGTTCTCTCCTAAGACGGAAATACAGATAAAAAAAATAATAAAAAGAATGAATGATGAATAAATAAATGGCCACAAATAAATTATTGTTAGTAATTTATAGATTTTTGTTTTTTATTATTATTATTATTTTCTCCACCTGAAACTTTGACAGCTATTCAGCATTGACCCTGCTTTGTGGAGCACAAGCATTTCAAGCGGCAAGTGACAAAACTGCAGTTTGTGCTGTAATAAGCACACTGATATAATCTGTTAAGAGCACTGATATAGATGATACTATTAACAGTCTTGGTGTGAACAGGCCTTTTAGGTCTTTCTGGATGCATGCAGACACATTAGCTGATCCCTATAGCTATGCACAGCCTTGTAATATTACCCTATCAAATAGTTTTGTCCATCATATTCATAGATGTTTGTTTGATCTGCGTAACATTATTTTGATGGTTCTATTTTGACATTTTGTTGA